TGAAACAACACTCAGCTAAGCGCAGCCACCAAAAAACATCGAGTTGTTTGAAAAAAAAAAATGTGATTAATTGGTTGATGTCTTGCACTTTTGCTTAATTTTTATTTCAACGATTTTATAACTCTGTACACCGCGCGCCACCGTTTGCGGCCTTCACGGCTGTTTGCCTTGCCGGTGCGCGCATCCAATCGAGCGTCTCTGGTACTGTGGAATGGGCGTTTTTAATTTTCATAGCATTTAACAAGTTTTAATTTATTTGCTTTTATTTTCGCAGCAGCATGCCAACGCCTCCGCTTCGCCTTGCAGCGCAGCAATACCTTCGCCGTAGCGTTTATATTCATAAACAGCTGCTGTTGCTCACTGCTCAATGGCCGCTGGCTGCCTGTCATAATAAACTTCCCACTACAGCGTGTTTGCCTTTCTGACAGCGTTTCTACTTAATATGTGTCGAATATTTAAACATTTACTGTCATTTAGCGGTAATATTGGCGTTGCCCCTTTTGCAAGCCATCATTCTCTCTTCGAGCTCCAAATTGTGTACCTCCGCTTTTGGTGAATTTTCGGCATTCTCCTAATATTTGTTGTACTAAATACATTTTTGCAACATGTTGGTGTTAATTGAGTTCAAGCTCACTCCTGTTTCACTTCATTGGGAATGACAGAGGCATTTTGTAATGAAATACGTGAAGAGGGGGCGAGAATAACTAACTAACAGGCTAAGGTTTTCTAAAGCAGCTTAATTACTGTGTACTAAATAGAAAGTTTCTACTATTACAGTATATATATTTACTTAAGTTAAACATAGGTTTGCATTCCGTCCACTTACTAGCTATTAAGCTTGAGGCTTGTGTAGACCTAACCATGAATATAGAAGATTATGTGATGTTCTGTATTCGGATTACAAGTTTTAGCAAGAGAACAGAATTTTTTTCAAAATATTTTTCGATCCTAATAGCCTGTCAATCTGACAGTTACAATATCAGGTAGAAACCGAAATGATCTATTTGTTGATATCAGTTATAATATAGCAACTGATCAAAAATGACCCGGACTAATATAAAACAAAATTTTCATTTGTTATCGCCTTCAAAATTGGCTTATTTTGAGCCAACACAAGTATGCCAATGCTTAATCCAATTTTCCGTACATTTCTTATAAGCCTCGGCTGAGATCGCCCTCAGTGCTTTCAGCGGTTGACTTGTAGTGGCTTCAATGGACCTATGGCCCCTTCCCTGAAGCGGATTTTTCAGTTTTGAAAATAGAAAGGCATCACAGGGAGCCAAAGCTAGTGAATACGGTGGCTGAGCGATGACTCTGGTAGCGTCTTTGGTCAAAATGTCAGTCAAAATCATGCTAGAATGTGTCAAGTCATTCAGGCCTTTAAGAACGAGCCTAGCATTGACACCTTATACACAAAACAAAAACCAAAATGTGTTGCGTCAATCCACAAAATATGATTGAAGTCAAATTTCTAGTAGTAGTGTAGTGTTAGTCAGAAATCATTATTTTTATACTTTTTTTTATAAATTTATTTATTTTTTTTATTAAATTACGTCTCTGCGATTTAAAACATATAAACTTCCTCCTATGAGATTTCTCCCAACTTAAATACTGATCAAATTATTGTCCGGTTACACCAATTGGCTCAAGTTCAGTGTTACAGCTAAATATAATGATTTCAAGCCTGTAAAGTAATTCTTGGACATATTCTATTTCACATATTCTATTTAAATTTAGAGAAAAAGCTCTAAAAGGAATCGAAGTATTTATTTTTCGCTTCATGATATTACTCTCTTGTGGAACAATGACTAAGAATACATAGAATAAATAAAACTCCGAAATGCCTTGATGAAGTAATGGACACATTAGTGCCCCTCTTATTCCTTCAAATGCCACTAAAATCCAAATTATTGTCTACCCACTCCTAAAGCATATTAATCAAACTTTTAGTCATCTAATCTGAAAATTAACCGAATTAGTTCAGCGGCGTGGCAAGTCCAATCTTCAAAGAGACGTCACTTAAAGTAAATGCCAATCTATTCCACTTCACTTTACGCCAATGAAAAATCAATTGCCTTTAAATTTGATAAATCGTAGACATGCATTTGAAATTTTGTCATTGCAACACCCGAACTCACACACACACACACATACACATACACATGTGTGCTGCTGTCAATTTAATGCTTTAATCAAGTTGTCACTGTAGCAGTCAAAGCGGCCATTAAAGCAATTTACTCATTAACCCAACGAAAAAGGCTTGACAAATCCGGCGATTTGCTGCCAACCGCTGAACAAATACCACGCTAAATAAATAAATAACTAAGGTGACCGTTCAAAAATGAAAAGCGCATGCATAAATTATGACAAATCAAAAATAAAATAATAATAAAATAAAATTTAATACAAAATATGCTTGTGATTTCAATTAAAATGAAAAAAGCCACTTAGCCACGGCATTGCTGACTTGTTTGAATACTGCGAAGGAAAAAAAGTTGTTGTTGCGCTTGGTGTTCGAGCGCTGTTTTGGCGCGCCACTGGTGGCAGCGGTGAGTGGTGTCCACCATACGCGACACGTAATTAAACGCTTTTCTGATTTTTCGCCTTGCCAACCGCCGGCACAGATTCGTGTGCATTCAGGCGTTTTGGCTCGCCTGCCGCTGTCGTCACACTTGCAGTGGTGACTATTGCCGCTCGAGGTGTGTTATGTGATCAGGCCATGAGTGGCAACTTTGGCAATTCAACTAAGCACAGCTCAGCTTGGTTAAAGCGTTGTTAAGTGACTGCACTCGTGTCAGATTTGTAAATTTGTTTCTGTGCATATTTTTGCGGATATATTTACATAAATATCTGACCGTATAAGTCGATTTAATTTGATTTCTCAAATCGACCAGTGATCTCGGTCAAACGAATAAGCATATGGTAGTCTCTATCATAAAAATGCCGCTTGAAATTCGGTTAACAACTTTCTCAGCTCCAATATATTTTCAAATTATTAAGCTTATGAGTTCGTATGAAATTTCTTTTGAAGCTTTTAAGCTTTGCTGGTTTCGTAAGCTCTCAAGGCATCTTAATAGCTTATTTTATCAATTAACTACAGAGAAGTATACATATATCACCAAACGTCCGGCCGCTGCGCTTAGTATCAACTGGCAATTATTGTAGCGCCAAAACGTCATTCCATGTTGGCACTAAACACACGATCTGTCTGTCCGCCAACCACTGTTAGCCTTTTGGGCCACGCAATCTGCAATTGCCATAAATTCACAGGCATAACTGCTTGGCATGCGCAATAACAACAACAGGCACCCAAATGACAATAAAGCGACAGTGGAGACAAATATCTATTTGCCCAGCGCTTGGCAAGCGACTCATTTGCATGAAACTGTGCATGCGGGTGCAACAGCGCACATATCCATCGCACATGCGCGGTAAGCTTTAATTTTTCATTAATCAAATAAAAGCCAAAGAACGGCAAGCGGCGCGGCACTAGTGGCAGCGCGTTGCAGGCAGCGAATCACAGTTGCAAGTAGGCCACAACGCGTTCACACACAGGCATAAATCATGCGAGAATTCGGTCACTAAGCCAGTTGCAGTGCACAGAACTGAGGTAAGAATACACACACACTCACACATACTCACAAAAGTATTACAGAGTGCGGCGGCGCTGCATTTTATTGGGAAATTTCGATTTCACACGCGAATCTCAGCTAAATTGGGTCGCCTAAGGCTGATTCAATGCGCGCAGCTCGACCGCCAGTGAAAGCGTAAGCGTTTGCTGGTATTTGCACAGCCAATGGCATACTAGCTGCAGACTATATGCGCGCGTCGTTGCTGCAGCTTCTATTCGCACTGGCGTGGTGTGCCGCTGAAGTCGCGAAAAATCCGCACCAAGTTGCAGGTTTTAATTGTAATCGCTGCTAAAAATAAATGAATGACCAACATAAAATAAATTGGTGTCAGAAATGTTTGCGCATTTGCATTGAGATAAAGAGTGCCACTTGTTTTTGCATTTTACGATTTTACAAGCGTATGACACTCACGAGATGGAATTTACTGACATGCACGCGCGAGTTTTTCTGTTTTGTGTAGCTAAAGCATGGTTGTACGCGGGTCGGATAAGTTGCCGTTATGCACTATGTTTAATTTAATAAGCTGGCTATTTGAAAATTGGTTATATGCATTTTGGGGGAAGCTTGAAGTAATTAAGGAGCCTTTAATAAATATCCCTCAATAGTTGTCTTACATTTTTATTTTATTTTTTATTTTTTTGTTATAATACGATTGTGAAGTTCCCTCTGCGAATTTTCTTTTACGCCCTCAATCGAGTCGAAGCGGGTTCCACGGAGTGGTTACTTGAGTTTTAGAAACACAAAAAAGTCGCATGGGCTCAAATCCGGTGAATTCAGTGGTTGATCGATGGTATTGAACGATTTTTTAGTCTTAAAATCGTTCACAACTACAGCTCGGTGCGATGGCGCGGAAACGCCTTAAAACGCTCAAGTTATACTCTTTATTGATCGTCTCTCCCGTTGGAACAAATTCATGATGAACTAAAAAACAAAAAAACAATTTCCGGAAACTATCTGGTATTAATGTATTATATATAACGCATAATGTGCGTTGATAATCGAACTCTTTGAGTTTGACCATACTAATTTCAAACATAAACAAAATGTGTAAAAAACTATGTTTAAAATTGGGGTAAGATTTCTTTTGTACTTTTAATAAAAAGTTCCACATTAATAATTTTGCGAATAGCTTTTCTTCGTACTTTAGAGGAACACCTTTTGGCATTTAAAGCTTATACGTAAAGCGGTCAAAGCTTAAAACCCTTAATACAATTATTCAAATTTTTTCCATAGCTTAGAAAAATGAGACCTCCAATAAGGTGTTATATTTTAAACTACATAACGCGAAGTAATTATTGGATTCTCAAATATTGGCTAAGTGTCCCTCAAGAGCTTCCTCAAAAACTATAAATGCTTTTACTTTCAATACTCAAATTATAAATAAAAAATTTGAAAACTTCATCTCGTTAACCCAACATTCTAAATATGAACAAAAGTGATGTCTCATACCGAACAATGTCCCGTTAATTAACGATCACTAGTGACATTCCAAAAAGCTGTTAAATGCCAAAAGTCGCACCGATTGTTGCCAAAAATATAAACATACATATTGCAACGCTTTGCTGGCGGCAAATATTTGTTGCTGGTGAACAAGTGCGCGCCCAAGGCACCACAGTTCATGAACCAGCTGACAATGGCAGCGCCGAAGGTGAGACGCAGAAGCGGTGAAGTCTGAAATTTGCAAAAGAATTACATTAAATATGATTACCAACAGCAGCTAGATAAAAATCAGCGACAAAATGCGGCAACTGCAACTGAAACTGCAACTGCTGCCACAAACAATAACGTCAGCGGCAAGCTTGGGAACGACAGTCAAAATTAAAAAGTTATTGTTGCACGAAATTGAGCTGAAATTGAAAAATGCTTTGCCTTTGAAATGTGATCTGTGCCAAATGTTCGTTTCTGTGTTGGGGTGTATGTACGTATGTGTAGATGTGCAGGTGCTATGGCGATTACGATTGCTATTTACCAATTGGCCATACGAATTGCGCATTTGAATGCGATATCATTCGTAGTCGCGTAATTTGCGTAGTCATTCGGCTGTGCGTGGCAAGTTGCGACCGATTGAAGCGGCATGCCAGCACACCGGCATGCCACCCGAAGTGAGCAATCACCCACACAACCTGCTGTAAAGAACACACTTCGTTAGGCAGCAAAGGTTGCATTGTGTTTGAGAGGTGTGCGGGCGTGCAACACACAACGTGCCACACTGTCAATCAAATTGAACAGCAACTACTATGACTGCCATGGCATGTTGCAGCAACACCAAGTTACTGCCTCACCATAAATGTCAGCTTATGCCAAGCGTTGGCTGCTTCACCGCCCGCTCCGCTCCTTTTCCTTTCCACCTCATATTTGCAGCTTGCAAGCAGTGCCGTCACACTTCATTTGCTGCCTGCGCATGCGTTCGTGCACCAACTGGCAATAGCCAGCTAATGAGCCACCATTCAATTTTTCGCAGTCCATTTCGCTTTGCATTTACATTCGCAACTGGCTTCGATTGCTTTGTCTCAGCTGTGCGCTCGGTTGCTGGCTCGCTTCGTCCATGGCTCGTTGCCGAGGTTGCCTAGTAACGGGTGATTTGCATAGTTATTGCACATTTTTGTGGCGACTCGTCGAAGTCACATTGTAGCCGATTTGAATCTGTCGAGTCAATTGTGGACATTTTGTATGATTGATCGCGTCACATTAATCTAAGTGTATGAAGTTGTGGCATGTGGCACGTGAAATGGCGCAACTTAAGACACGTACAACTACTAAAGCTTGCAAAGATTTTGTTATGAAGTTAGCGTGAAGGTCATTTACGGTAAGGCATAATTTTGACTCGAAATGAAAATCAGCATTACGTAACTCACTTACATAACTTAGGACTTAACATTTCGAAGCAGGAACGGACTCTTGTTTAATAAATCTTTGTTGACAGCTTGATCACAGGTCCTTAAAGTAAGTAGAGGAAGGAAAATGACCTGGATGTAATATCTTTCTGGGGTTTAGATCCAAAGAAGCACTACTAAAAACCAAACAGAAAGCATCTTCCTACTATAGTATTATTATGTAGAGAATCGAAGAGTACTGTGAGCGAAAAGTATACACATTATTAGCGACAGTCTTATATTACAATGAGGGAGAGAGATAGATATCAGAGGTATTTTAGCTTACTGCTGTTAGAAGAAGATTTGTTTATAGTCTGTCGTGCCTCAACGAATAGCAGCACACTACATCCAACTGAGGGATCAAAATTGATATTTGTTACAAGCTCAAAGGTCATTGCTGGGTATACAATTAATTTCATTCAAAGCAGCATAAAGTAGAACTTTAATACCATAATTTCGTCAGTACGTATCGCTCTCAATTTTGACGTTTTTTCACCGTTAATTTCAATTTTAGTGCAATCAAATTGCAAATATACTTTGCTCGATGTTAACGTCGCGTTATTGTGGGTCTTAAACGGCATTACCATCTTTTTGTGCTTGCTCAAAGATTGCCATTCAGGGCAGACTTATTTTTGCTGCTTTCAATTTTGACGCTTGCAGTCGATTTCTCGATTTATACAAGGTGAAAATCAATATAATATCGATATAGTCGATATCGGTAAATTTCCTTGCTCAGAACTCTAGAGGAAAGCAGTAATAAAATCCTATAGCAAGTAAAGAGATAGGGAGGAAAAAGACCATAATATTAAGAAAAGATAAATTTAGGAGAATAGAACTAAACTTTATCTTTGTAAATAGTCGAATAAAAAATAGTAAAAAGTCTAATAATAATTATAATAAAATATATATAATACCATTATAGTATATGAAATCGTTTAATTTAAAGAGTATTTCCAGTAAAAATTACAGAAAACTCAAAAACTATACTAATGGGACTATATCATTAACCACCATATATACCATATATAATTAAATTAATTTTTTTTTTTTTTTAATTTTAGATTTTTAAATCAAACTGGACTGATTTTGTCTGAATTTTGGTCCAAAATCATTTGACTCTCAACTATATGTTGATGGCAGCTTAATCGATTCTGAGGTCTTAACCGCTGAACACACCAATAACTCAAGTTTGGCATACAAAATTTAATTAACTATTTTGTAATACTAAATTCACAATTCAATTGATTTCATTACAACAACAAACAACAAAAAGCAATTTTCGAAATATGCTTCACTTGTTCGAATGTCAATTTTCAAGTGAAAAAATAACTAATAGTGCAATTAAAAGAATTATTTGTATCGCGCACAAGAAGCTGACCCACTTCCGAGCGGCAAGATCAAAATTAGCCGGCAGCAATATAAGCGTAGCTCAGCAAAAACACCAACAAGAACATATGATTTAAGTAAATAATAAATAAAGCTGACATCTGATGGTGTAATAACCTTTTGGATTTCATTTTTTCATTGACAAGTGGACTGAGTGGCGTTCCCTCCGGCGCGACGGCGACTACGCGCGCCGCGGCATGCAACTTGTCCGCACAAAGCAATTCAATTCATTCAAAGCAAATATTGCGGTTTTTGTATGAACTCATTAGACATTGCCTGCGCTTTGTTATTATTGCTACAGCTATTGTTGTCGCTGTTGTTGTTCGTTGTGTTGTGGCAAGCGTATGCTGTTTGTTTGCTTATTGGCAGCGCACAAGCAAAGTAAAGAAAACTAATATCTCTAATTGGGTCAAACCGCTGCCGCCAGCAATTTGTCCTAACATTTTGACTTCTGCTTCGTGCTGCCACTGCCACCGCTGGTAGCACTGCTGCTGCCACTGGTAGTACTAGTGTGTGTGTGTGTGTGTGTTGGTTGGCTGTGATTGCTGGTGTTGTTATATGCCAGCGGCGCTGTGGTATTTATTGCAAGGAAGCATTAATACTTGTTGTTGTTGTTGTTAAAATTTTTAACTTTGCCCTACGAAATGCCGTCGAGCCGCATAATGGCAGATGCGCAATTATAAGTTCTTCCATTGTTGGTGTTTGTGTAGGAAGAATTAGAGCAAGTTTGTTGCTTAAGTCATTTGTTTGTGTTCGCAGCAATAACAACGTGAAAGCGCGCATTCTTGATGAGGCGAGTTTACCGCTAATCTGGCTGTATGATCCGCTATAGCAACCATTAGATTTTATTGTTTCGATGTGTAGTTTTGGCGTGAAATTTTCAAGCTCTGCCGCCGTAATTACGCGAGAGGCCGCCGCTGAGCTGCAAAGAACGGAACTTGGTGTGTGTGCAAGCGTGAAATGATATTGTTGGATCTTCCAAGCGATTATAGCTTTTTGCTATTGTTAATAACGGTCCATCGAGTTGCTAATGTTGGTCATTAGGAGAGTAAAAAATTGTGTAAAAAGTCGTAAATATGTTGGCGCACACTAACTGGGAGCATGCAAGAAATATTTCTGTGATTCTTTTATGATGTTGCCTACTATTTTTTTATGAGTGATACTTCCTCAATATAAGAGTAATTTAACGAAGTCTGCAGTGCGAATTTGTTAGAGCAAAAAACACTCTTTTATGTTTCCTTATTTTATCATTCATCGCTCTCGGGTTTTTTATTGACGTGAGAGAACAGAGTGTCTTCGGCGCTTTCGTTGGTTAGAAAGCTTTTTAGTTAAGTGTGCCACATTATAGTCTCGTTTCTTTAGATTGTACGTAAAACTGTAAGGTGATCTATACAAATATTAATAGTGTTCTTTATAATACTTTCTGCCATTGATCGAACTGTGCTGACTCCTTCGATTAGCGAGTAATGTCTTCGAAAAAGTTTATCACACTAGAGTTTTACGGCTGTATTTTGGCGCTTAAATCACTTTTAGTTTTATTTGCTGTCATTGCTTTCCTGGGGGAAGGAGTTACAAAAAGTTGTTATGGTACCAGAGATATAAGATTTATTGAATAACACAGAGCTAAAAAAGCTTAAGAATAAGTTTGAATAAAGATAAAAAAATATTTAATGTTTGCAGTTACAAAAAAATTTTTTACTATATTTTGGCACTTCAACACTTCAGCGGTGAACCTTATTTCTGGCTTTTCGGTTGTTGTACCCGCTGAGGCCGAAATTAAGTATTTTATCGCGATGTGTTTTTGGGAAATTCGAAACGCTGCACATAAAATTGATATCATATAAATTTAGGCAAATGTTTAAAGAATTAAAAAACCGTGTTTACATTTTAAAAAATAAAAATATATTTGACTTTTAGTGGTTCTCGTATGTCAAGTCGCCACTGCCGTCGTCATAAAGTCCAACAATATTTCATGGCTTTTTATAATATTGTAGATAGTCTACGATCTACGAGAAATTCGAACTTTATCTACGATACATATAAAAATGAGGCTTCCAAAAAAAATTTTTTTTTTTTGCAAAAATTTTGGATTATATCCGTGTTAAATTTATTTAAAATATTTTCATTTATACTCGTAGTATATCATACATAGTGTAGTTTTTAAAATGGATGAAGAACATTGGTTTGCTATTTTCTACATAATCCCTTACGCCAATTTGAAAACATGGTTTTGAGAAAACGCAGTTCAAACTTTGAGGTAAGAGGTCGGTGGGCTCGGCGCCACAAACTTGCAATAATTTTCTTGAAGCATATACCTATGAAAAAAGGAAAAATAAATTTTCTTTTTAAATAAGAAACATTCGCGGACTTGGGGTACGCACACTTGTGCATAGATACTCAGAGCTTCTTCGATGATCCAGCAAAACCGATTCTGCTGGATGCTGCAGGAAAAAATCGGGTCTATAGAGTAGTTTTATAAGACACAGTTGCTGTGACCATCGCGCATATGGTGAAACACCATATATTATATAATAGAAGTCCCGAATTAACCGCAAATTATTGGTCATTTCATTATTTTCGCTGTCATTTTTTTTAGTACAGGAGTTGCATACATCATAAAACACCCTTAACTTTTCATCTTCTTTCAACTGTGACTAAAACACTAAAATACTAGTTTACATTTATAAATTCGTACTAACTTTGACCGATTTTCTTAAATTTATCGCATTTCCATTTATTGGAAAGGTTAATTTCATGCCAATTCTACTCTGTAACCAACGGCATTTTTAGCGCAGTTCTAACACTTTCCTTGTGGTGCTACCATATGAAAATAAAATAAAATAAAATAGGGGACTGCTAATTACTACTGCTGTTATTGAGCGTATTGAAGTGTCTGGACAATCGTTTGATTTAAACTAAATTTGAGTTCAACCGAATTTCGCTTCGAGTTTTCCAATTACATGCGAATTTCACACAACTAATTTCGGCGACTTAATTGACTGTGCGCTGCAAGGCGAAAGCAAAAGCAATCGTGCAACAAAGAGCGCTTCGATTGCCGGCTGCCACAGCGGCATTTCTCGTAGGGAAAACTGGTCATAGGAAAATTAAAGCTACTGTTAAATGAGAAACACGATCGCGACGAACCGCGGAGCTGCTGATTATAGCGTCTAATTGCAACAAGTCAAGCACAACAGCGATTCCACAGTCGGTGTTTTATTGTCCGAATTAAAACAGCAAACAACAAAGAGCGCAGCATTGGTATAACGGTAGACCGTTGGCGGACAGTGGTCAACGTAGTGAGTGGCAAGTAAGGAGGGGTTGGGGGTATCAAATTTAAATATTGTTTGCTTACTTGCAATATTTTTGTTGTTTTTGTTGTCATTACGGATCTTCCTTTACCAGTGTTTTTGCGAAGATTTTTGTAGTTGCGCATTTCTGTTGGCTTATCGCCGCGGCAGAGGCGCGTTGCACGTTTGTTTGTTTTGACAGACAGTGTTATTTGTTGCCTAATCAACGGTGTATCAATGTGACAGCAGCAATTGTGGCAGCTATAGTGTAAAAAGCAACAACAAAGGTTCTTTTACAATTTTCCCTCCGTGCTTTTATGTGTATTTTTGTTTGTTGTTGTAGTCGATTTTGTGGTATGTACTTGAAGAACGAACTTCCTTCATTAACTTTTGTGCGGCAAGTGGGCGAGGGGTGCCGCACATGTTGCTGTTGCACCATTCACCGTAGTGTTAGCGCTTGTAGCGATGTTTTGCTCTGCTGTTGCACGAACACATGTTGCACCAACACCTAGGCGCTGCCAAAGTAACACACAAAAAAATTAATGAATTTCAACAGATTCACAGCAACAACAAACGCGATTACGAAAGCAGGCGGAGGCAAGCAGTAGCAAAGTGTGTACGTTATGTTGCCGCTGACCGCCGTTGCCGCCAGACACAATCTCCGCAACAGCGACGACAGGTGATGATTGAATTAACAACTGGCAGTGAAAATTTTGAATGTTGCACGGTTGCGGTGGTGTTGCTGGCGGCAGCACAGCATTAGTAGTGGCTGCAGCTAAGGCAACAACAACAAAAAATATGTATACTTTGCTGTAGTTGTTGTTGTATAGCAAGCCTTGCTTTGCAGGGTTCATTTGTCGCGGTAATTGTGCTTGGTTCCCGGCGCGTCTGTGTGCTGCATGCACGCAGACACGCACCGTGCGCGGCGCGCAGGCATCCGTTGTTCGCAACAGCCTCCGCACTTCAAATGAGTCAAAATCGCCGTTTGCATGCCCCAGCAGCAGCTTTCACAATTTCATTTGCAAATGTTATTGTTGTTGCGCGCTCTTGCCACATACGACAACGAATATGTATTTGCCTTCGTGCATCTGTCTGCAACATTTGTTGCCTCATCAGCGCCGTTTGTTGATGTTGCGTTCCTTTTGTGCTTCCTTTTGCCATTTTCATTCGCTTGTTTGGTCAGTCGCGCCACATTGACGCTCATCAACGACTGCCGGATGCTGCTGACCAGTAAGCAACAACAATCACAATTAAGTAAATGCAGAAGAAGAACATAAAAAAAGCAAATTTAACGCACAGCTCACTTTTCGCTTTGTATGTTGCACGTTCGTTGTGGTCCTGTCCTTTGTCATCGTCGTCGTCGGCGTTGGTGTTGGCGTCACCTTTGCCAACAGTGCTGCCATGTGTTTGCTGTGTTGCATTGTGTTGTATTTTTGATTTCCATTAGCCTGCCTCATTTTTCATTTCTCGCTTTTGGTTCGTTGTCACGTTTAATTTCACATTTTAGTGCACCAAAAGTCAATTGACACAATGTGACTTTATGCGATACATACTCATCTTGTTGTTACTGTTCTTCTGCATAGAAATTAGCATAGAGTATGTCAAAGTGTTTATTACCCAAATCAAAACTCAAATATTTTGAATTCCGTTAAGAATTTTTTCAATATATATATTATTCAATATGTATACAAATTTCAATATGTATACAAATCATCAATGAGTTTAGAGAATTTTATAGGTAAGTAAAAAATACAATAAATAAGCTTATTTTTCGACACAATCGCCATCTAGAGTAAGGCATTTATTTTAACGATGCCGATAGT